CTTTGTGTCTGTCTGTCTCTGTCTGTCTGTCTGTCTGTCTGTCTGTCAGGTAGTGTGGTCTATTTAACAGGTGTTGAGTCAGAAAATAGTAGAGTGTGAGAACCAGTTGTAATCCTAAGATGGAAGTCAAACGCTGCGGGTGTTGATGTAAGGCTGACGGTGTAGTGACGCTGGTGGAGGTGTGAGGAAAGGAGGGCGTGTGAGGGAAAGATGAGGGGTGAGGGGAGGAGGAAGCGAGAGGGGAGGAAGTCGTCCTGGAATGTAAGCAAAATATGGTGAACGTGTCTAAGGGTGACTTAAATAAGGTGGAAACAAAGATCTCGAGTCTCTCTGGTGAATGAGTCTGTGAATGAGTGAGTATGAATGAGTAAATGTGTGAATGAGTGCGTGTATGAGTGAACTTGTGAGTGAGCCAGGCAGTCAGTCAGTCAGTGAATGTATGAGTGAGCGAATGGTACAGGTGGAGGTAGTGTGAGGCAGGTGTGGTACAGTGAAGGTAGTGTGTGGCAGGTGTGGTACAGGTGAAGGTAGTGTGAGGCAGGTGTGGTACAGGTGAAGGTAGTGTGTGGCAGGTGTGGTACAGGTGAAGGTAGTGTGTAGCAGGTGTGGTACAGGTGAAGGTAGTGTAAGGCAGGTGTGATACAGGTGAAGGTAGTGTGAGGCAGGTGTGGTACAGATGAAGGTGTGTGTGGCAGGTGTGGTATATAGAAGGTAGTGTGAGGCAGGTGTGGTACAGGTGAAGGTAGTGTGAGGTGTGTGGTACAGGTGTAAGGGGTGGTATCAGCCACCCAGGCCAGCCACCCACAGTCACTTGGCCGCCATAATTGAATCGATGGGAGGGACTGAGAGACTGAGGGAGGGAGGGAGGGAGGAACTGATGGTGGCTCCCTCCTGTTAATGGTGAGGAGGTAAGTGTAGCCATCACTCAGGACACACACGCCCGCGCCCCCTCAACGCCCACGCTGCCGCCCCTGACATCACCATTAATCCTCACTGCCACCGCTGCTGCCGTCACCCCTGCCACCGCTACCCTCTGCTCCTACCATTGACATGACCCCTGCTACCACCTCGATCCACCTGCCTCTTTAGTGCCGTACGAGAGCGAGAGAGAGAGAGAGAGAGAGAGAGAGAGAGAGAGAGAGAATAAAACAGTTATTATTTCCATTTTCACTCAGGCGCAAATTATGTGTCTTAGCCAAGGACAAATACAACTCATGATGTCATATTGATGTACTTGCATCTCACCATGTACTTAGACTATTTCCACGTACACTTTAACCTCCAACACGTACTGTACTGTACACCTTCAACAGGACATAAACAATACATTAGTAGTCATATTGGTCCAGTGTTCAGGGTCTATATCTTGTGACGTTCTAGTTAGCTTTCATTCCCTCAGCCTTTCATGTAGACCCAAAGAAGACGAAACATTTCTTCTTCTTCTTCTTCTTCTTCTTTGTGTTCTACTTCCTCATCCTCTTCTTCTCTTCCTGTTTCTACTCCTGATCTTCTTTCTTTTCTTAGTCCTCCTCCCCCTCCCCATTATTCTATTTCTTCCTCGTTCTCTTTCTTTCTCCTTCCCTCATATCATTCTCTCTCACGTACAATTGACTCTGCTCACACATGTTCGTAGTACCAACCATCCCTAGCACTGAGTAAGTCTGGCTGGCACCTTGTCCTCCCAACTCCTAGCCAGCTTAATGGGAAACATGACTGGCACAACCCCCCTTCACCCCCCTTCTGTTTTAAGTGGCTGGCGCACCCCCTTCCCCATCAACCACCCATTCACCTCCATTACCCCTCTAAGATGGTACCTGGCATCCCTTCCTCACAGGCCCCATCTCACCACCCCTTTCTAAGATGGCTGGTACTTCCACCCCTCTCTATTAGAACATATACCCTCCTCTTCCCCATCCACAACTCCCTTCTCCGCCCCTGCCCCAAGATGGCTGGCACCCCGCGGCCAATTTGTGTGATGAAGGTGGGTTGGCACGTCATCGGTCAAGTTCTGACGCCCGCTGAAAAGGCCGAGATTACGGACGGCGGCGCTCATCTGTTCCTTTCACCCCCAGGCGAGGCGTCACCCCCCTAACCCCTTACTCATCTGCCCCTCCTTCCCCCTCTGGCTTCTTCACCAGCACTTACCTTCGCATGAAACAAAAGACTAAACCTTCCCACAAACGCTAGCAGGTTCTTCTTCGTCGACCTGATCACCTGAAGGTTTCTTGGATTATCTTAGAGCTGTAAGAAGTCTTCCCTAGTTAGGTAGATTATCTCTTGTTGTTTGTCTCGTGGAGTGAGAAACAATATTGGACAAACTATTCACCTTTTTGTGTTCACTTCATTTTCTACGTTATTGAAGAAAAGGTTTAACCCTTTAAGGACTATGTTTCAACCCTTCATGAGCTATGATTTAACTTTCGCATTCTCAAAAGGGTTAAATGAATCTCCTGGTAAGAGAATTCCCAGGTGCTTGACCATCCTCACGTTGGTGTGTCACAGGTAGTAGGTGACCGTCGTGGTGTCGTGCAGAAGAAAAGACGACAACCTCCCTGCCCCCTCCATCCACACCTTACGAGACGCTCACACTAACTACCCATCAAGGGAAGGTTCTGAGGCGGGATTAAGACTCGATTTCAACGTGATATTAACCATTTAGGGTCCCTTAAGACTCATAGGCACGTGATACAAACTCTGGGTATCGAAGCGGAGGACTTGTAAACAAATCTAGTGTTGATGTATTCTCAGCCCGCCAAATGGAACTAGTTGATATCCGACTTGGGATCTGGATTCAGAAATCGACGTAACTGGGTATAAACGAATGCCACTCAATAGACTATATTGAGAGTTATTTCGATATTATTTAAGACATCATTTTCATTTATGTCATCTCCTGAGTGAAGCAGTTAGAGGCATTCTCACACCACCAGTTAGGGAAACAAAACTTCTTTACCCCACGAGCCTATGAGAGTGAGGATTCAGGGCTGTATAACCCGTCCTGGATATTCCTCGCTGATGCTCTTTTGTTCTCACCCTGAACTCTTTGTTGTCTTGGTGGAGAGAATAACTAATGATGGGTGCGTAGTTTTGATCTATGGATGTCGAACAAGACTTGAGAAACACAAACACATAGATAAAACACTATAAATTAGACTCTTATTTACTGAAAATATGATAATACAAAACGCACTGCCTGAAGTATACAAGAAAACATCATAGACCAGAAATAAAAAAATAAATACATCCTTTATTCAGCGTCAATGTCTAAGTCTTCGTCCACTCAACATAAAACGAAATAAACCAAGAATAAATTATGGTTTTTAATTTACCTCAACAAATTAAATCTATCAAAAGAAATATTGAGGATTGATACTGTCTTCCATTTACAGGTACACACACTCTTAAATAATGTACTAATGTCTGTACTCCCAAGTGAACGATAAACTTGACGTGTTTACCTTGTTACATAGCACCACTTACTCTCACCCTACACACCCCCCTCCCCCTTTTATTTACTCCAATCAGCTGGTTCAGTCACCCCACAATATATAGTCTGTACACACTCTCTCACCCTACACATGTTTCTCACCCTCTCAGTGTCTCTCTCTCAGTCCTCCCCCTCTCAGCAACAATGAAAAGAATCCTCAGTTGAACCCTCAAAGGCAGGGTGGTTAGGTTAGGTTAGGTTAGGGTTGTAGGTTAGGTTAGTTAATACTTTTGTTTATTCTATCCTATTTTGTTGTTATCTATGGAGTATATCCTGAAAGACTTATTTCTATAATAGGTATTTTTATGCTCTTAGTCTTCAGAATTGTATTGTATGTTTATATCAATATTTGACTCTTTATCATACACACACACACACACACACACACACACACACACACACACACACTTGTACACGTATATCCATCAGCTGTGTACAATAGTTATCCATTCAACCTTTATTGTTTCTTACTATTCCGTTTTCTGTTATTCTTGACGAGGACATAAAAATTCTTGCTGACTTAGTGATTGTCTTCCGTAGAGGTGTAAAGTAAATAAATAAATAGCTTTGTGAGAGAGAGGAGAGAGAGAGAGAGAGAAGGAGAGAGAAGGGAGAGAGAGAGAGAGAGAGAGAGAGAGAGAGAGAGAGAGAGAGAGAGAGAGAGAAGGAGAGAGAGAGAGAGGAGAGAGAGAGAGAGAGAGAGAGAGAGAGAGAGAGAGAGAGAGAGAGAGAGAGAGAGAGAGAGAGAGAGAGAGAGAGAGTTAGCTAGGCGACACGAGAGAGAGGGGGGGAGGTTAGGGCAGGGGTGAGGCTCAGTGAGGGCAAGGGAGAGGAGGAGGGGAGGGGAATGAATGCAGGTGGGGTGAGGGCAGGGGTGAGGGGTCAGTGAGTGCAGGGGTGAGGGGTCAGGAGTGCAGGGTGAGGGGTCAGGAGGGCAGGGGTGAGGGTCAGTAGGCAGGTGAGGTGAGGGGCAGGGTGAGGGCTGGAGTGCAGGGTGAGGGCTCAGTGAGTGCAGGGTGAGGGCTGGGTGAGGGCTAGTGAGTGCAGGGTGAGGGGTTAGTGAGTGCAGGGTGAGGGAGGTTAGTGAGTGCAGGTGAGGGGTGAGGGCAGGGGTGAGGGTCAGTGAGTGGGGAAGGTCAGTGAGGAGAGGGAGGAGGGTCAGTGAGGGCAGGGTGAGGCTGGGTGAGTGCAGGGGTGAGGGTCAGTGAGTGCAGGGGGAAGGCTGGGGTGAGAGGGGTGAGGGTCAGTGAGGGCAGGGTGAGGGCAGTGAGTGCAGGGGGAAGGTCAGTGAGGAGAGGGTGAGGGTGGGTGAGTGCAGGGTGAGGGTCAGTGAGTGCAGGGTGAGGGTCAGTGAGGGCAGGGTGAGGGTCAGTGAGGGGCAGGGTGAGGGTTAGTGAGGGCAGGGTGAGGGGCAGGGTGAGGGTCAGTGAGTGCAGGGTGAAGGTCAGTGAGGGCAGGGTGAGGGTTAGTGAGTGGTTGGTATAGTGACGGTGGTGCTTCTCTTCCCCGACAGCAGTGCAACACGAGCGCGGACCACGGAAGAGCAAGAATAAGGACGGCTCGTTGGCGGGGCTGGGCATGATCCACGGCGACCACTTCCCATCACAGGACGTCTCCAAGGTGCCCCCGCTGCTCTTCCCTCCGCCGCCTATGCCCTCCCTCAAGCACCACTCTCCCCATATGTTCCCCGAGGGTATCCTGGCGCCCACGCCCATCTTCATGCCCCACGTGCCCACCTCCCAGCCCCACGGTCTACTTCATATGCTCTCCTCCGCTGAGAAATTGCATGTAGGTTGTTCGTTGACATCCTTTTTCAGTGTTGTTGTTTTATCCAAGGCTCCACACCCTCATCCCAGGATTCATTATGCACATCGTCTTCCTTGGCAGTGGTTACTTATACCACATACTTATAACTTACAGTACAGTTAATAAGACGAGCTATTGTACACTCATCTCTGTGCCTGAAGATATAACTTTTACCATGTCAGGGATTTTAAGTTTCACCATACCCGTGGTCTTAATTCACCATACTAGGGTTTCTAACTTTCACTATACTTGTGGTTTAGCTGTCACCTTAACTGGGGTTCTAACTTGCACCATAGCTGATGTTTTAGCTTTCACCATATCTAGGATCCTAATTGTCACCATACTTGTGGTTCTAATTCTCTCCCTACCTGGGGTTCTCAGGCGCCTACCTTCTTCTACCCACAGAACGGGAAGCTGCCCATCACCAGTGGGTCAGGGGGGGTGTCGGAGGTGGCGGTGTCCCTGCCCCAGGCGCCCTCCCTTCTGCCCTTCGCCCCATCCTGGGAGATCTTCCAGGTGAGTCAGGGACTTGTCCACCTCCACCTCCCCACCAGATTTCCTCAGGTGAGTCCTGCTGACGACGGGGGATTGTGGCGGGAGAGAGTGTCAGGTTAGGAAGGTCACAGTGCGTAGATTATTATAGACTGAGAAGGTTGAGAATGCGTAACTGAGTAAACGGCAATATCAGAGTGCGTAAACTTGAGACGAAAATGACTTATGATACGCGAACTACTGTGGGTGTTAGAGGTATAGAACGGAAGGTTTACAATAGATTACACTCGCTTGTCTTATTCTCTCTGGGGAAATTATTCAGAATAGTTTTGAAATGGTCTTCTGTTGTGATTGTCTATTGCATACTATTCCCATATACACTGAAAAACATTACTATTATCCACGTTAGGTTAGGTTAGGTTAGGTTAGGTTATTGTGCGTCGATCCTAAATATGTACTTGAGGGCGTTTTACATTTTAATGAACAGTAATATATATATATATATATATATATATATATATATTATACTTCTGTATTATTGGGATGTGGTGGTGTGGTGGGGAAGGATATGGTGGTGTGGTGGGGAAGGATATGGTGGTGTGGTGGGGAAGGATATGGTGGTGTGGTGAGGAGGGATGTGGTGGTGTGGTGGGGAAGGATATGGTGGTGTGGTGGGGAAGGATATGGTGGTGTGGTGGGGAAGGATATGGTGGTGTGGTGAGGAGGGATGTGGTGGTGTGGTGAGGAATGATGTGGTAGTATGGTGAGATGGTGGTACAGTGGTGGTGATGTAACAGTGGTGTGTTGTCCCCCCCACCAGGAGACCACGGCCAGGCTTCTCTTCATGATGGTAAGATGGATCAGGTCCCTCGCTCCCTTCCAGACTCTCTCCAGGTCAGATCAGGTGAGTCAGTCTCTCTCTCACGTACATTATTCTATAATCATCGTTTATCACTGATTTCATTTTTATCTCTCTAATTCTTTTTTTCTTAATGACTGAAGAAATTTACCTCATAATTATATACCCCATCCTATATATACGACAATAAGTTATACATGGTAAGGACTCCTATCCTACACACAGACAGGATCCTCCACCGGTTCATTACCTCAGGACTTGATAAGATAAATCCCTGACACTATCTTCCTCATCTCCCTCCCCCCCCGCGGTTCATAGTCACTCCCGGTAGTAGCCATTGGCAGTGTATCAATGACGACAGGACGTGTAATCTCTGACTGTCTATATTTGGTGAAGATGTCTATAAATAACCCTGTTCGATGTCTTCTGATGTTCCGTGTCCAAATGAATACGTATTGTCACTTTCTATCAAGGTATATCAGTATGAGGGGGGCGTGTTTGGTTTGATTCACAGGTAGAGTGGGCGAATACCTCACATACACACACACAGACACACGCACACACACACACACACACACACACAGACACACACACACGCGCACACGCACACGCACACGCACACACACACTTACAAGGTCATACTCATCTCACTACCTGTATAAGAAATCCCATCACCCAAACTCCTCTATAAATACCATCACATCAGCTGCCTGAGAAGAGCCGTCAGACAAACTCTTAATCATAAAACACAATATTACTTCTTGTTTTGAGAGTTAAGCACGGAAGCTTGCAAGGCTCTCATAGTGTCAACAAAATGCTTGAGACAATATCGACCGTAATCTCCCTGAGCTTAACCCATAATTAGAGAATATCTTATGTATACAGGGTGTCTCAAAATGTAAACACACTAAACATATTTTCATGAAGCAGCAACGTTGTGGTAGACCTCACACGTCAACAAAGTGAGGACAATGATGCTGTTGTAATACAAGCATTCACACGATCGCCACGTTAATATATAAGGCAGTGAATGTACATTTTTTTTTACGAGATACCTTGTAGATTATCTTTAAAATCAAGACAAGTGAAGGTAAACACCGGCCGCCTGACCAGACACAAGCAGTAGAGGAGGGGAGGCGCGGTCAAGCCACACGGTAACTCAAGCGGTCGTGATGGACGCGTCGCTGGGATGAATAAGGCCACAGTTTACGGTTCGAAAACTGCTTCTTTAATGGTTTTGTTTGTGTGTGGTGACTGAGTGTGGTGGCCACTGGTCCCTGAAAGATGATGGCCCGGTCCACCTACCCAGTGACGAGCAGGGCTGCACCTACCCTTACTTCGCCTTCTGCCAACAGCGCCTTTGTGTACCTGTCGCGTTGGCATTTGAGTGTGTCAACCTTTTATAACTCTACGTTTACAGTACATCAAAATGTAGTTGTAATTTCATCTTCATAAAAGAACTAGTTGTATATTTCATCACTATAAAACCACTGAACCGTAGTAATGATTCGATTACAGGTGTAAATCCACAGGTGCAACTTCAGGGACACAGGTGCCTAGTGGGTATACACTCTAGCCTGGCAATTAAAGTGTCCATTGAGAGACAACAGAGTACGATTGATGTCCAGTTTTAAGCCAATATCAGTGAGGTTATATCTCCTCTTTGGCTTGTCGTAAAAACTCAAACGGTTCACAAAATTTCAAACGAAAAATAAGGGGGAGATCGTATCTTACCTGGCGAGGAAATGTGACGCCAGACTCCACCTACCTGACGAGCGGGCTGACTCATTAATGCTCTCTGAGTGGCCATTAAGTCAAGCTCTCTGAGTGGCCATTAAGTCAAGCTCTCTGAGTGGCCATTAAGTCAAGCTCTCTGAGTGGCCATAAGGCAATAAATAAACAAGATATTTTCTTTACGTCAAGAAAGAAAGAAACAAACAAACAAAACAAAAAGAAGAGAACAGAAGAAAGAAAACAATGGAGAGAAACAGAAAGAACAAAATAAAGATAGTGACAGGAAAGAAGAAAGAAAGGATGGAACCAGAAGAAATACTCAAAAATAATGTCTCTCGCTCCTATAAAGGGAAACATTAAGCATTAGGGGGAAAAAAGGTTGGACAGTAATGGTAGTTGTAAGAGACAGCTCCTGACACCTTGTATTCAGTTGCTGACATCCTATGTTTGGCTCCTGACAACGCAAATGTACATAGACGTTCTGATTCCCTGTACCTTACTGCTGACGGTGTGTATATGTTCTGTTGCTGACTGTGTGTTGTACCTGTGCTGAGTGTGTGTGTTGTACCTGTGTTCTGTTGCTGAGTGTGTGTGTACCTGTGCTCTGTTGCTGAGTGTGTGTGTACCTGTGCTCTGTTGCTGAGTGTGTGTGTTGTACCTGTGCTCTGTTGCTGAGTGTGTGTGTTGTACCTGTGCTCTGTTGCTGAGTGTGTGTGTTGTACCTGTGCTCTGTTGCTGAGTGTGTGTGTTGTACCTGTGCTCTGTTGCTCAGTGTGTGTGTTGTACCTGTGTTTTGTTGCTGAGTGTGTGTGTGTTCTTTTCCTGACGAAGTATATTCCTCCTCCTACAGTGTGTATTGGTGGAGGAGTCGTGGAAGGAGCTGTTCTTGGTACACCTGGCCCAGTGGTACTTGCCCTTAGACCTGAGCGCCCTCCTTCAGAGCCCCGCCGCCCACTCCAGGTAACTCACGCCCCAGGTAACTCACACACTAGTTAACACACACACACACACACACACACACTAGGGAATAAAGAACATAAGAACATAAGAATGGAGGAAACTGCAGCGGGCCTCTTGGCCCATACTGGGCAGTCCCGTTTACACCCAACCCCTATTGCTCATATAAGCATCCAACCTATATTTGAAGCTATTCAGCGTATTCGAGTTAATGATGATATTTGGTAACTTGTTCCATTCATCCACTACTCTGTTTCCAAACCAGTGTTTACCTATTTCCGCCTAAATCTAAATTTGTCTAATTTAAAACCATTGTTACGAGTTCGCTCCTGGTTGGATAGTTTGAGTACCTTTGTAATGTCCCCTTTGTTTAGCCCTGCCTTCCACTTATACACCTCTATCAGGTCGCCCCTCGCTCTACGTCTCTCAAGGGAGTGCAAATTAAGATGCTTTAACCTGTCTCTATACTCAAGGTTCCTAATGCCCGGGATTAGTCTTGTCATTCTCCTCTGAATTCTTTCCAAGGATTCTATGTCCATTCTGTAATACGGTGACCAGAACTGAACTGCGTAATCCAGGTGTGGTCTCACAAGAGCAAGATACAGTTTTAGGATGACCTCGCTAGTCTTGTAACTAACACTCCTTTGTATGAACCCAAGTACTTTATTAGCCCAGGTAACTCACACACTAGTTAACACACACACCAGGTAACACACACATACACCAGGTAACACACACACACACCAGGTAACTCACACACTAGTTAACACACACACCAGGTAACACACTTCAAGTAACACACACACTTAAGTAACTTGCTCACCAAGTCACTGAACAGATCCCTTGTCTCTGTTACTCAAGTCAGACCGAGACATTTGGGTTTACTTCACCGATACTGACACGTGTATGTTAAACAGGTGTGTGTGTGTGTGTGTGTGTGTGTGTGTGTGTGTGTGTGTTTCGATATTCTTACCAAAATCTAAAGTAGAAAATCTGGTTATGTAATGTGTGTTGTGTATATTTAGGTGGTATGGTTAACACAATATGGCGGTAATAATATGGTTGACACAGGCTGGGCAGCGACGAGAGGACGGCACTGGAGTTGGCTACCATACAGGACGTGTTGCGACGCTTCCGACACCTGTCACCTGATAACACCGAGTGTGGTTGTCTCAAGGCTGTCGTTCTCTTCAAGCCTGGTGAGTCTCCCGTCATGGTGTGGTCATACTAGGTTATGGTGTGGTTACGGTAGGTCATACTAGGTCATGGTGTGGTTATGGTGTGGTCATACTAGGTCATGATGTGGTCATACTAGGTTATGGTAGGTCATACTAGATTATGGTGTGGCTATGGTAGGTCATACTAGGTCATGGTGTGGCTATGGTAGGTCAACCTTGGTTATGATGGGTGTCATACGGTTAGGTTAGGTTAGGTTAAGTTAGGTTAGGTTAGGTTAGGTTAGGTTAGTTTGAATTAGTTTAGCATAGGTTAAGTTAATACTAATCCTAAGTATCAACAAAATCATCCTTTTATATAAACTAAAAAAAAACACGATTAAATATACTAAAACTATCGCTACAATTTAGTGACTCCTAAGACACTGGACAGGTGTCGTCGACCCAGTTGTACAGCTCTCTAACTGTGGCTGAGTGAGTCCGTAGACTTAATGCACGGAAGCTGTAATATTAATGAGATTACCTGAATATTCGACACCCCAGCTTATTTGACCGGATGATTACACTCCCTTACGCTAACCTAACTTAATTTGATCTAACCTAACCATCCTAACATTAACCTAACCAGACCTGACCTAACCCCTCCCAGGTATCAATCGTTAGGGTGCTTAATCATACAGGTGAAATAAACTGGGGTGTCTAATCTTCAGGTAATCTCCACCGGAGTATTCATCAAACCATACAAGTAATGCTGCCATATATATACACTGTACGATAACCAGGAAATACAAGGATGATTATATTTTAAAACCGGGTACAATTAACACAGGAGGTAGAATCAATTTAATTTTCTGAAGGTGTTGAAAATCATAGCCACGTTAACAGTAGACTTAACATCGAGTGATATCGTTGTTAATATAAGAGAATAACGTCTGTTGTTTACCTCTCACGTTAACTGTTAATATGTTGAGAAGAAACGGGGAAGGGCCCAGAATTGAGACCTTCGGGACACCTGTGTTTATGTGGTTAAAGGAATAAATTTGTAGTTTTAGTGAGAAGACAAATTTTAGACTTGGAGTGTTAGTGTTAAGAGTTGAGTTGTTAGTACTGGGACTTGAGTGTCAGTAGTAAGACTTGAGTATTAGCAATTTCAGTGTTAACGGTAAGACTTGAGTGTTAGGGGTAAATAATCATATGGTCAATAAATCTGGCATTAGCTACTGTCTGATCTGTAGTTAATAAACAAGTCCCTCCTTCCCTCCTTCTCTGGGCTGACAGACGCGAGCGGGCTAGTGGACGTTCACCCGGTGGAGATGTTACAGGACCAAGCGCAGTGTATTCTCAGCGACTACATCAGGACCCGCCTTCCTCGTCAGCCCACACGATTCGGCCGCCTCCTGCTTCTGCTGCCGGGGCTGAAGACGGTGCGAGCGAGCACGGTGGAGGGTCTCTTCTTCAAGGACACCGTCGGGGACACGCCCATACACAGGCTCGTCCTCGATATGTACACCATGGACAAGAACGACCAGGGCAACATGTGAGAGGACTCGGTCAAGGCTTGGTTTGAGCGTCTGAGCTTCAAGGCCTGAGAGCCGCAACATCTGAACAAGCATCAAGCTTTAACGTTGAAGCGTGTATGATGCATCGTCTGAGCTTCAGCTTTTAAGCGTTTAAGCTTCAACGATTAAACTTCAGCGTCTGAACTTCAGCGTATGAACCTTATCATCTAGGTTACCGAAAATGAGCTTCAGCGTTTGAGCGAACGCTTTGAAGACGCTGGTCGGTGCTGCCCCCAACTTACTAGGTCTTAGGTTCACCAGCACGGAGTGTGATGTGTATGAATACATCTTTCACGTGATACGTCAGCCGTAATGCTTGGATAGGTAACCTTCTCAAAATACCATACGGCTGAAGTAATTTCGTTAATGGAAACTACGAGGTACTGAGTAGTACCAGTCTATATGTAAATAATATTACAGTGGAGAGCACACGGTGACAAGCTCTACTCTTACAATTTGTATACTGACTGTCAATACTCATGACTCGGGAAACAACCTGGCCCAGGAGATGAAGGACGCCAGAAAGGTGTCCCCCCAAAGGTTGCAGGTCAAGACGATGGTGTATGTCAAGTATATACTTATCACACTCAATGTAACTCTCACAGGCAAAAACATTCACAACACTCAAGGTACGTCTTCAGAATATAGGATGTCGACACCTGAACGAAATCTCAAACCTTCTTTTTACGATCTTGTCCTGAGATACACAACAATGATATGGGAACAAAGTCCACCTCGTCGATAAGAAACCATCACACAAACCTTCAACATATGTGACACAATCACTTACAATGACAACAAGTGATTAGATAACAAAGTGAATCACATCAGACGTCTACACACGATCTCTCTTACCACCAGGGATGATCAATGACAGTCTCAGAACGTGAATTCTAATAAGTGACATCCTCATCCTCCAACACAAAATGACACTTGGAGCCTCCACCACGTTTTTGTACTACCACCACTGGGCATATTTTATGTTATACTGTAGAACTCTCCTCGTTTACGACTGTTCAGGTATGGAGTCACAGCAGCAGCAGCAACACCCGCCCTTTGTGTTCACTGTTCAATAGTGTAATAACGTTGCTTCAAAACCCTTTACCAGACACATTGTCATCTGCTCGTTTTGTTCATTTCTGTCTTAAAACTTACAACACTTACTGAAAAATATATTGTTGATTTATAAATTTATAATTTACTGTGGAGTACAACTGAATACTAAACTTAAAATAATACCTTGTGTTTGGTGATATGAATCTCTCTCTCTCTCTCTCTCTCTCTCTCTCTCTCTCTCTCTCTCTCTCTCGGTGCACTGGAAGAGAAGGGAGGATTTTTTTTTTACTCATGGTTAAATTACACACCTTCTCTCTATATTGTACAGGTAACAATTCTCTTTAATTAGTGTACAGGTGTTTGTTTTCCATATATCACGCAGGTAAAACTATCGTCTCAGTGACACAGGTAAAATAATAATTTATCTACAGGTAGGCCTACAGGTATAGGTTTTCTAATTACCACGAAGATAACCATTTCATTTCATTATAAGACAAGTTAAAAGAAATATATCATATCTCACTATTCCTCTACCATCACACACACATTAATGGGGAGACTAATATGAGATAAAAACTTCAAATATATAAACCAGAAAATAGGTAAAATTGGTACATATCAACAATAAGAAGATTCAAAGGTTCTCCCTCCTCCCATTTGCCTCATCAATAAACACTACAAATAAACCCAAACGTAAAACATGAAATAGTTTTATCTGCCACGAACAAAAAAAAAGATAACTTACTTTTTATTCCCGGTAAATACACATAGACAATGAATCTACGTCATAAAAAAAATAAACATTTCATGGCTAAAATAAATGTTGCAAAGTTAATGTTTCCAGATCGATCAATGTTAAAGTCAATATCACTTCTAAATAAAAAATAAAGACTATTCCCTCCCCCCCCCCTCTAAGAGTGGTATCAACATCATGACTAGAATCAGGTTAAAATTGCTTCAAGATAAAAAAAAAACGTTTCCAGACCTCAAAAACGTTTCCAGAAGTGAACGTTTCCAGACCCACAAAACACGTTTCCAGACCTCTAAAAAAAACGTTTCCAGAAGTGAACGGTTTCCAGACTAAACTACAGTATTTTCAGATGTAAAAAAAATAAAAATAAAAGCGTTTCTAGGGGTGAATATTTCCAGAGTTGGACGTTTCGACACTAAACTGTTCCCAGAAAAAAAAAAGTTCCCATGGCAAAACAAAAGATTTTCTTCTTAAAACAAAAAGTCTGTCTATCTTTCTAACTATCCATCTATCTATCTATCTATCCATCAACCACATTCCAGTTTTAATTAAATGAGAAAACATGATTATAGGTGGAGGGTCGTACAAGTGGAGGCTCGTGAAGGGGACATTATAGTGGAGGTAGGTTATAAAATACCACACCGATAATTGCCTCAGTCTTATTTTATCTCATGAAAACAAACCTTTATAAAAAAATAAATAAAAACTGTAAATATTCGGTAGATTGACCTTTTAATTAGCTGTAGTATAACTGTGATATTTACTTCTGCATTATTTTCCTATTTTATTCATTATCCATCGAAACTTCACAAATATTACTAATTCTTAATAAATATACAGTGAATAAGTATTTAAACTGGCGACAAAATTATCTGTTGATTGACAAATACCGGTTAGGCTTCTTTACTTACTGACTGACTGACTGACTGACTGACTGACTGACCTGACTGACAATTCCCATGCCATATACCTACTGTATGTCTTCTCTCTCTCTCTCTCTCTCTCTCTCTCTCTCCGAATAGTGTAAATAAAACCACTTTTTTATTAATATTGATAATGTAGTTGTTTTAACTTACATATTCTGTACATATAAAAAATACAAGTTCGAAATCTAATACGTGATCAGTACGCGTCTTGACCCCCAACCAAACTTGTCCAACACGCCGGTGACCTGGCCTGAGATAACCCGGGTCTTCGTGTACTGTGAGGTAGGGAGTTGTCGACGCCTCTACAGTGACCGTCTTAACCCAGTAAGTTTAGAAATGAAAGATTCTTAACCTAACCTAACCTAATCTTAACCTAATCTTAACCTAACCTAACCTAACCTAACCTAATCTAACCTAACCTAACCAAAGTTAACCTAACCTAACAAGCTAAGGATAAAGAGGTCAAAAGCGTTAACGAAAAAATATAAAACATTCCCTTTACCTCTTGCGGGTCGTTTATATACATACATACATACATACATACATACATACATACACATACATACATACATTACATACCATACATACCATACATACCATACATACATACATATCATGCATACATTATATACATACATACATACATACATACATACATTACATACCATACATACCATACATACATACATATCATGCATACATTACATATCATGCATACATACATACATACATACATACATACATACATACATACATACATAGTGTTATCTGAGGTTTTGTACATTATGAAAATAGTTCCAATAATTTTATCTTTTTTTTTTCGAAGTAGCCAGTTGATTTATATAAAAAAAATATAAATATATATATATACATACATACATATATATACACGACTATGTATATGTATCCCCCCCCCTCCCCCCCAAGTCTATGTGAATTCTTGTGCCAAAGGTAATGTACATAGTAGAAATTAAGACAGTACAAAGTCTTCGCCGTAGCCTGTCACCTTCTGCCGACAATAAATGTTCAGATAATAACGTGTTCGTGTTTTGTTTTACCTTACGTGTGTGTTGGGGGGTGTGAGGGGGTGTGGGGAGTGTGGGTGTGGGGAGTGTGTGGGGGGTGTGTGTGGGGGTAATGAGAGTGTGGGTGTGGGGTTGAGATGTGGGAGGAGTGTTGTTTCTGCCCAAACAGTCAACTCTCTGAACGTTCTACTGTAACTATCTACACCTTGAGACAAACAGCTAAATTCCTCACCAAAAGATAAAAACATACTTGTTGATATTCACATGTTATATCCTCCCCCCTGGAGCCACAGTTGCCTCACCTGACACTCACCTCATATACGTCTCATTAACACCCTCTTTAACTTCTCCTCCCGTAACACCTGGCTAAAATTTAATAGCGTAATAACTACGTGGTTCGGATTCTCTCGGGTACATTCGACATTCTTGTGATTTTTTTTTTCTTTTCATCTCTGGCTCACTCAATCAAACTACGGGGTAAATACGGATCTCTAAATGAAGGAACTTTACACCGAGTGGCTGTCGAAAGTTGTGTAATTTCTCTCATCAACAGCACAGCGACGGGAAGAGAGTCCTAGCGAGAGGCTCTGAGAATCATGTTGGGTGGTGGGAGGGAAGGTGTGGTCGCGGCGGTGTAAACATTACGCTTGGCTTGTGCTATTTCCTGCACCACACGTCACCCGTTCATCACCCACCCACCCACCCACCATCCCTCCTTCTTTCCTTCCCTCCCATCTCCCTCGCTGCCTTCACGGACACCTTCCTCCCCGTCTACCAGTTACCACCATCTTCCCCGCCTACCTCACCCTCACCAGTCACTCCTCCCTGTTAACACCTCACACTACCCTCCGCCTACATCACACTTCCACACCCAGACTACACCACACCCACCTACACCACACCCACCTACACCACACCCACCTACACCACACCCACCTACACCACACCCACCTACACTTTCTCTTATTTTAGAACTGCTTTGTGACCATAAAAGGAAATTATTCAAATAAATTGTCTCTCTCTCTCTCTCTCTCTCTCTCTCTCTCTCTCTCTCTCTTGTGTACTTAATGGAAACACAATTTTACCTCATATCACAAATAATAAAGATGATGTAGTTGTTACCATAATGAGACTTAAAAGACAACTACGGCTCTCAAGGGCCCATGTTAACGACGCATTTTTCACACCCAAAAAGATTCCTAGAACATCTAAACCAGAAACTCAGGTATAAATTGTCTGACATTACGTGGAAAACCGATAAGGTGATATAACAGTACCTGACTGATTTAGCCCAGGTGGGGGTGGTGGGGGTGGTGGGGAAATGAGGGGTGGAGAGGGGGAGGGTAGGGGTGGAGTGGGTGGAGGGGGGTGTTGTTGTTTCACCGGGCTATTGGGTAGGTAGGAGAAGACTATCTGGTTTGGTTTTATCATCAGCCATTGAGCCCACTTGATGATGACGCCTCCATTGT